ATATATGTATATACTTTGATTGTATACAGCATAAAATGTCTTTTGTGTGTTATGATACATTGTATTACACACAAACACACACACATACACACACATACGCACATACACACACACAAGCACACACACATACACACACATAAAACATAAGATATACATTCGTGTATACACAGATACAGGGAGAAGGTGACAGAGACGGAGATCCAAAGCAATGAGATTCACATAAGAATCTAGAGAGAGATGAGCTACCATATTTTCCTCGGTGACTTCACTTGGCTCTGACGTAATGTGAGCGTACAGGCCGGCCACCTGTTGGATGGACATCACCGTCTCATAAGACAGGCCCTCTGCAAACTTGGACATCTTTGTGCGGAGCTGTGTTGAGAAGAAACGTACTGATGTAAGCGATTGCTAACGTCAAGAGACAAAGGGCGTAAAGGGAACAGTCGAGAATTATACAAAGTCAGGTCAGGAGTTCACAATAAATCTGTCCCTCTGTATTGTTCCTTCCATATCCAATTTTACGTAAGTCTAAAGTTGAAGTGATTAAAATGAGCAATCGAGAGCAACCCTGAGCGCTAGCACTAGTTCACAACAAAATCATCTGCCGTCTTGATTATTCCAACATGCAGCGCTGAAAGCTATTGCGCGCACGCTATTAACATTCACATTCTATCTGTGTTTCTCCTGGATTAGCAAGTATTCATTTGCAGCTACTGGATTAACAGAGGAAAATGCGTCAAGTGATTAAGTAGCTTCCCTGAGAATAAAACGTCAAACACAACGGAGACGGCAATCGACCGTGTCTAAAAAGAACTAAAACGACAATGTTACAGCTATTTTAAGAAAACTCTACAGGTTTTAAACAAAACCTAGGATTACTTACTGGTTACTGTCCTTTGCCATACATGTGTTGCAAAAAAGTCTCATTACATTTAAACAACCTCACTAGAATGTGTGTTCAACCAAGATCTCCAAGATCACGAGATCAGTCTCTTATAGAACACATAAGAAAGCAGGTGAAAAGTCCGCTGGGAGGTCCTTTTCTCATCAAGCTACACCTGTCTGGAACTCTCTTACACATTGGAGGTATACAAAGTCGGAGACAAAATTTTGATTCTTTTAGGAACATTATTTAAGAAGATTAAGTGCCACCTTGATAATCAGTTCTTATTCTTTGTACTCGTATGTTCATGACGTGATGTGTATATTATTATCGTCATCGGTTGTGAAGTGATAATATGAATGTCTGCTTAAGTGTTTGCGTTAATCTAAAATAATAATAATAATAATAAATTACACTTTTATTTGTCCCAGAAGGGCACTTTGTTTTACAATGCCAAACATACATACATAAATACATAATTATAAATACGTACATACACAAATACATACATGCATAAATACATACATAAATACACACTGTTACACAAATACAGAACAGTTTACAAACAATGCCACTGCCGGTCGCCACTGTGCAGCGCCCTGTAGTTTGAGCTAGGGTTTTCGTGTCTTGCATGCATGATCATTCACCTGAATTTGATGTACTACAAAGAACCTTGAGCTGTATTGTACGGGAGAGGGTGCTATATCATTTATTTGCACTCTTCTTCTTCTTCTTCTTCTTCTTCTTCTTCTTCTTCTTCTTCTGCTTCTGCTTCTGCTTTTGCTTCTGCTTCTTCTTCTTC